TGACGTGCTGGAAGCTGTTCGCCTTCCATTGATAGACGCGAAGTATCTTATTGAAGAAGTGGAGAGAGAGGCAGTAGTCCAGAACTCCTCGCGGTGTCTTGAGCTACTGGATGAGGCGAAAGATTTACAACGTTTGCTTGAGGAACAAGGAGTCGTCAGTGATCCTCGCGTGACGCCGAGACGCTGCGTGGCGCAGAAGGTCCTGTTGGTGTTGGGCGGGAAGAACCAGGCTGGTCCCTGCACGACCATGTCGTACTACGACAACAGGAAACAGGCCTGGCTGCAGCCCGAACCGTTACCCATGGAACCACGCGACTTATCAAGCGTTACAACCATCGGACACTACATCTATCTGACTGGAGGCGCTCCCGTGGGCTTGTCTCAAACCGGACAGAGGGAGAAGTTGAAAGACGTTTGGCGGTACGACGCAACGGCAGGGTTGTGGAGTAAGCTTGCTCCTCTCCACCAGGGCAGGTGCGGCCACGGCTCGGTCGCCATAAACGGGCAGGTGTACATCCTGGGCGGGTTTGACGACATCTCTATCCTGAGTCAGGTAGAACGGTACGACCCTGCCTCCAACACATGGGACATCGTCGCGCCCATGCTGAAGGCCGTCACCAGCCCGGCAGTGGTCGCCTATCCAGGGGAAGATTTACGTCTTCGGAGGGTTTCTTGAAGATGAAACCGTGGGTTTCGCACAGTGTTATGACACCGACACCGGGCAGTGGAGCCTCATGCAGACCCCGTCTACCTGCGAGACCGGCGCGTCCGCCGTCGTCCTGAACGGGCTGATCTACATCATCGGCGGAGAGCTGTCGCGGAGCGTCACGGTGTTCGACCCCTCCAGCCAGAAATTCTACCAGACAGGTGAAATGGTCGAACAGCGCCTGCTCTGCGGAGCTGCTGTTCTTGACGACAGGATCTACGTGACGGGCGGGGTGTCCCACCGACTGTCCGCGGAGGTGCACGACACCATCGAGTGCTACGAGCCCAAAACGGACAAGTGGAGGATTGTGGGTACGTTACCCGAGCCCCTGTACCAACACGGTTGTCTGACCATATACATGAGTAACCTTAACTGTAAACAACAAGAACACATACCAGGGGGGCAGGACGCAGAGGAATAATGCGATATGTATTCCGTGGGTTATCAATAAACCTTCCAACAGAAGGAATGCGGATAAAGAAGACACAAGATGAAATATTCGTTGCTCAATGTGTCTTTGCTATAAAGTTGAAACCACAATGAATGTGACAAGGCTATGTACAAGCAAACGCCGCTCTTGCTTCGTGTCTATCATTGTTGTCAATGCAATGTAACGCACATTTGTAGAGCTTAAGAGGTTGTGAGCTGTACATTCTGCTGCTGGTTATTGCTAATGATAGCTTAGATGGGTCGCTTTGGAGACAATTGTTTTCCTTACAATTTGATCAAAGAGAATATGGAATAGGCAGTGTTTTGTGGTATACCTAAGTAGCGTAGTGTAGGGGTACTAAAATGAAGATAAATTCAATCTTATACACATGTATCCCGAGAGCTTCAGATGAACTACAATTTGGATTACCTGGTCTCATCGCTAGGTGTCGTTTCTACATAACATAATGTACTGTACGTGCCTTTAAAATATAGTTGTGGTGTGGATCTATGATGTTAGACATGACTAAAAACATGGGTTTAACTGTTCTCTTGCTTTCTCGTTGGTGGGATATTGTTCCTTTTGGATAGCCGACTGTACTTTCCAAGCAGAGGTTGGGGAGGGATCTTTCCCTTCTTCTGAGTACCAGTATCCTGTTTTCTGACGCCGACCGTTGAGATTTTCGTGAATCTAGTCATTTACGTACTCTCAATTTGAAGTTTCCATAAAGAATTCAGATATACTAATTACCTCTACCATCTACAATTAATTACACAATCACGTTGAAATCCATGCATCCATTCCTTTCCCCGCTTACAAGTTGGCGCACGTGGCAAATAAGGTAATTGCCGCCAGGTTTATTTCGAGGATCACTTGACTACTAGTGCGGAGAGAAGGGCGTTGTGAAGTGGACCTTTCGCACCTTGTTATACGCTTGTTGACGACCAATGTGTAGCTATATCGAGTCGTAGCGATTCTGCTCGAATTCACTTTGAAAACTAGCCAATAGCCGTGCCCAATACCGTTTATGGGTAGTGGTGTTTCAGTCCCGTGAATTTCTACATGTAGGTAGAATTCACAAATTAATTTTCTGCCTCACACATTTTTGGCGGGGTGGGCCAATAGGATGAATTCCAAAGAAAAGCAGCCACACGATGTGGAGTTAATGTTTGTCAAGTTATATCGCATTTCTATAATGTTTATTAGGGTTATATCAGCTAAAGTAAACATCGCAGTTTGTTCAATTGATCAACGTGTCAATTTTGAACGTGCATTCCCATCAAGGTTGTTGAAAAAACTACTCTGTTTTTCTGAACACCACTCATGTGATGATGTACCTATTTTCTATGTCTTTCTTTCTTTGCATGACTATCTCCCAGCATATTTGCATATAGATTGAACCGCAGCAACCACTCTGTACCACAGGACACCATTTGTCTCATTATCAGCTTCAATCGCTTTTTTACCGAGAGCTTGTGAAGCCGTTGTCGTCAGCACTCTGGTTGCCACGGCAACGCGCGCCAACGCTTCCTGCCTCTCCGCAACATCCTCTGTTCCGGTTGCCTAGCAACTGCCCTTTCAATTTGCCCGGAGGAGCCTCATCCTCCGCCGCCCCGCCGTCAACAAGGATGCGAGTGGCGGGTGACGATGGAGCTGACGACCCCCTCAAGTGCCACACGCACCGGCGGTGACTGGAAATATCTCTGCTGCAACGTGCAGAACCTGGGTGGTGACAACACGCAACAGGTGGGTGATTACACTATGGTATCGTAAAAAGCGGGTGAGATGGGGACGTAAACAGCCTATCTATACGGTTGATTCACCCTCATACACTAGCCGTACATGGTATATATTTGTATGTATGTGAGAAAGATATTGATGACAAGTTCTGACCGGGATGTGCAGGACAACTGAGCTTTATTCGTGTACATTATTCACAACGGAAGCCAGGTTTGTCCTAATATCGTTATTATCAGACTGATTGAATTGAAGGAAACTGTCAGAAGTGAGATGGATCCGGACTTTATGTCTGACATGATGTCTAGGTAAGTTCTTCGCTTGGAAGGGTGGGCGTTGAAATACCGCCAGAATATCAACATATCATGTTTTGGAGTAAAGTGTGATTTTCAAAGATGCCGGAAGCGTTTCTGTGTAGGATGAATGCGGCAATTATTTTCTATTGGCCATGGCGCCAACTCCTCTACGTAGTTAGAGCTGCACACAGGATGTACTGTAAATACCCGGCGTTATGATATGTATGAGTTGGGCAAGCGCTGCGGTGAACGTGCCAAAACGCCTCGGGGTAGCTCAGGATTCTACGTCCAACCGGCTAGCGAGAATAATGCCTCTCTCTCGACGTCAAATTTATCTCTCAGAAAGATCAAGTTCGTGACGAAAGACTTACTGACGGCGTGACGGCTGTAGGTTCTGGATGAGAGGTGATGCTATCTCCTTCTCATTCACGTCAGAAATCGAGTTACTGGAGAGTCAGGATGGCGCTAGGTCCAATTTACATCTTTCGAGATAACCTCCTTGGCTCGCAGTTGAGGATCATAATGCTATGATGAACTTGAAATTAGGTGAGGATATCGCAGATCAGAAAAGAATATGGAGAGATATTCTGTTCACGCAGACGCTGAGCTGTGATCACAAGTGTCGTCTGCGCAGAATTGCTCTCTATGCTCGACGCACAGTAATCACACCTGTATTCCCGTCATCTAAACAGGCGTGCCGGCTAAATTTACACTAGGCCTCTGGTTAAAGATTTACTTTGCAATGTTTGAGGTAGGGCGTGTTTACGGCCCTACACACGAACTTTGGCCCTAAAAGCTCCGCGCTTGTTTTATTTCTTTCCTACAGAGCGATGGGAATGATCAGCTTGTAGGGCTGTAATAAAAGGTACCGGTGACGTCCAAACCACAGCCTGCCATGAATCTAACACACCAGGCCATACCGGGGATAGGGGAGCTGATCGCCAGTCGCCAGTCTCTCCCCAGACGGTCGTCACACCGGCCCCCGCCCGTGCGGTCTCCCACCAAGATCCCTGTCCAGAGCGGCCGGCCGAGAGGCTTCGCACAGCCCGAATGGTACAGGTGGGTGATACAACACTGTCCACATTTCATTGGCGTAAGTGTGGTGTGTACGTAATGGTGTGTAACTTGGATATACATCCTTCAGCAATACCGGAAAACGAGATTCAGCAGCGTATACAGCAGTGTATATCAATGCAGTGCCAAAGCTTACATATGATCCCATCATCATGCCACTTAAGCAACGGGAAATAAACCGCCATGATCCACATGACCTGGCCTAGCACCAGATTTATTGACGCCATTCACGTGGGTTAACCGGATGTAATTTGTTCGATTTGTAATTGAGGATTAGGTTTCGACACACCGTTTTGTAACACATCGACATTAAGTATTAGCTGTGTGCGCAGAAGGTTTCAAGGTGAAGGTAGCAGCTTTGTAAGGCCGTGATTCTACTGTGTATGAAGTAGAGTAGCTAGACGTTACAGGGATTTAAGCACGTTTTCTATAGTATGCGCGCGCGTGTGTTTATGTGTGTGTGTGTGTATGTGTGTGTGTGTATGTGTGTTTGTGTGCGTGTGTCTGCATGTGTCTGTCTGTCTGTCTGTCTGTGTGTTTATCAGGAGGAATTCTCTACTTTACCAAGACATTTGCATGCAAATATATCAAGACGACTAAATATAACACGAGCCTAAGCCTCGCTACATGTCGCGGTTGCTGGGGCGGTTGGCGGTCCTGACTCGCATCTATTATGAGTCATTCTGCGTTGTGTAAATCAAAGTCATGTCGGTATGAAAGGTCACGTAGCAACAGGCGGTGTCCCTGACGTCCGGCTGTGTCCGGGGCAGACAGGTGGTCTCTGTGTTTCACAACTGACCCGAGGTCAGCGTAGATGGACGTCAGGTGACGTCAGTGACCAATAATGTGCGGTCTGCTCCTTTTCACGATAACCACTTTTAGTGTGTGCCTATATGTTGCGTAATATTTACAGGATACATATACATCGTCTGCGACAGGCACGTACTATTCTCAAACAGGATTATTTACCCTAGAGATCTCAATATCCAAATCAATAGAGAGAAAAAGCCCACTGTACTCTTCGTATTCGGTTTTATAGACATAATATGCTGTTGTGCACTGATCGTCTTTCACCTCATTGGTTTACCAATGATATGATTTCCTTAATTACAGGGGCTACATAATGCAACATACGCAGAATCGCTTCCTTTTGATCTTACTTAACAGTACGTACTAAAACCTTTGGAGACTATTCCACTGCACCGCATTAATAACGGGGTTAACAAATCTCGCCTGTGGTTTTAAATGTTCATCATAAGAAATCATCTACTGGGAGGGCCAATCCCCTCCACCCATTCCTTAGTGTACACCTCCAGCTTGTCATTGACCTCCTCCAAGTCGTTATGGCCATGAAGACTGCCCACCTTGAACCCATGCGAGCACATCTTAGTCTTTATGTCGTCTTTGATGTGAAGAGCGTCGATATGCGAATTACATCCCCGCTTGGAAAGCCTTTTCCTAAGGGATACGTAAAAGGATGAAGTGTTTACGTACATACTGTGCAAGTCAGAGTTAGCCAACCACAAGATGTTACAAATGGCAGTTACTGTTTCTGACAGTTTCATAATAAGATTCTTCTATTTTTGTGAAAAAAATATTGTTCCTGACAGGCTCAGTAGACACAATACAATGTACCTTGCACTGGAGTGAGCTATACACTACGCTTAGATAACGAGGCGAGGTCAGGCCTGTGGGAAGTGAACCCGCTCCTATATCTGGTAGATCACTTAAAATAAGTCAGGAACGTTGGCAGGATGGTGTGGCGACTACAGGAATGATCTAATGAATCAGATCTAGACATACCCAAGAATAGTGTACACACAAGATAAGGCCTGGCCGTAGAGACATTAGCCACTGCCGCTTCTCTTTAGCAGGACCATAAACACATGGTTTAACTTTAATGGCGAATAAATTCCGTTGAATCAAAACCATCTTTCATTTGACAACCTGAAAACATGAAGATTTTCTACCCGTTGTGGATAGAGTACATGTACATCTCTTTCTCTGTGCCTTAAGAAAAAAAGGATTCGTGACTTACCATCCTCGGAAGAAGTCGTCATGCCAGTGGCGCTCGTATTCCTCTAGTTTAGAGTTGTTGTCGCACAGCCGACTGTTCATGGGGGACAGGTAGGAGACCGGCAGGACATTGCTGCTACAGCCGCTACTCTTCCGCTTCCTTCTCATCCCTACTTACAACCTGCCAGGACAAATATTCTGTTGCCTTGGGTCATTCAGCGCCACATTCAACTTTTAAAATCATTCACAATCTAGAAAAGCTAGGTCAGGCTGTGTCAAATCAATTGAAAGTTTGAAAAAACCAATCAAATATTTGCCTACAATGTAGGACAAAAAGACTAGGATTTTGATTAAAACATCGCTCTCATCGTTTATTTATTTATTTATTTATTCATTGGTTCCCAGGGCAGCCCAACTAGCCTGTGGCTACAAAGGGCTTGCCCTACTGTCAAGACAACACATGACAAGACAAGACAAGACAAGACAAAACATAAATACAGTAATCGTTGATGTGTGATAATGGGATATAAAGATACTGTCGATGAGAATTTCGTCAAAGAAACGGATTAGTGTATACATTCATTTAGTAGTCCTTGGCGCAAGATTTTTTTTTAATGACGCATGCATTAAGCGTAAATCGACGTTTTATCAACATAACTCCTTTTCCATATCCTTACCTCTCAGCAACCCTCACCGTCAGGAGAACACCCTGCAGTGTCGGTTGTTTAACGGACTGCGACACACCAACACAATAGTGTCGTCAGCAATTGCTTGAAATCTCTAGCGCTCTCGTTACACAAACACACAGCAGAGGGTGCCTTTGGCGACAACAGTTTAAGGAACAGGCCGTTCCACGCATACGTTGTTGTAATGATGCCATTGGGATCGAAGTTAACAATTTTACACGTCAGCTTGGTGTAGACTCCTGCAGATCAATCTGTTCAGGTTGACCATGAGTTATACGAGAGAATATAATTGACGATAGCTCTGGTAGCTGAGAAAAGCAAAATATGCTATTTGAAAGCAGACATAGTTGTAAGATGACCACGTCAACACCGCAAGTGGTGGGAATCGCTTACATCCTCTTAACTAGCTATAGCTAGCTATGAATTGAATTTTCGCCTACAGCGTTAATATCAGTGACCATCTGTTGTGATATGTCGTGTTATTACATATTATCGACATAAATATTCTACCCATGACTGACCCATTCAAGCATACCTACTTAATTAGACAGAGCGCGTTTACATGATTTAAGTACCATGCCGTGTAGCGACTTTGTCCGTGAAAGCGTCCTCTTGCGGTTGTATCTGACTTAACAGCCACCTACACATGCAATGTGCGGTCAGGTTATATATATCCCATACAAGGAGAGCAACAGATGTTACCACATACGGCCGATCTAATGACAGAGAAACTCCCGAGCTTCGTTTTCATTTTCAACAACAGTGAAAAGTAAAAGGGGGGGGGGGGCAGTCAGTTCAAAAGGCAGCTCTTTACTTCTGTTACGAAGAAGACTGATATCAAGTAGCCCATCGCTAAAAGCAACGTTGCAACAGGAAATGCAAACGTTGAAAGTACATATACCCCCGCTGGCTCAGTCAGCATGTTTGCTGCGTCCGTGTCAACGTTTTTGACAGTGGCGATTTTAGACTGGTGCGTACTTCAGAAAATGGCACATCGTTCATCCCATGGGAAATTTTAAAATCTTATCATGTCCCTAAGCCCTCCTGTAAAACGTGCAAAAGAAATACTGAGACAAGTACTTAGCAGCTTGCCAGGAGGCGAGGTAAAGACAGTTGTGTGTTTCAGAATATTTTTTTAAAATCACTCCTTCCTTCTTCCAGGCCCGGGTAACCTAAAAATACATTAACGATCCATACATGAAGTGCCATGTTGCGTTTTGATCAGACGTCTTAAATCTGTATCCCAAAAGGACAGAAAGAGAAGACGGGATGACTCAGGCTTCACCACTTCCAACAGTATGCATGGGCCACGCCCCGCTCTCAGGCAAGGCTTGCAAAACATAACAGCTTTCAGCCGGGATATAGATTAATCAATAATTCTATTTATCGTGCTGGCAAAGACCAAAGCAATGCTCTTGACTGTATGAAGAAAAGTAAAGTGGGGGTACACTACGCACACAAGTGTGTTCGGTGTCCGGGCAGAGGCGCTGACTGATGTAAGGCCGGTGGGAGTGACCGTCCATGGGGGCTCTGTGGTCGGCAGAACCGCAGACAGCGCGCCGCAGACGGAGTCGCCAGCAACTGACCAACCTGATTGTGAGGTAACATGGGGAGGGGGGCGTCAGGTTCACATGCTTCAGTTGTTATATGGTTTTGAATCCTTGACTTTTGAATGGTATCTGACCGTCCTCTGGACAAAGGCGCATTTAAAACAGGTGCGATGCCACTTGATGTGACGGCTGAGTTGGCGTGACAAATTTTGTTGACTTGTTTCGCAGTGGAAAAAATTGATAGAAACGCGATTTTGTGGTTTAACTTTGTTTGCATGCTGTTTTGTATTTACTAGGTCTTTCGTCCACTAATTGATATTTCTATTCCGTCCCTCTGTAAAATGGTTGACATGTATTTAAAAAAAAGGGTGTTCACAAAAGAAAGGCAGTTTTTGCTAAAATACGTTTGGCCAAGTCGCGATTTTTAGAATTTCATCTGCTTATTGTTTCGATACCCTGGCATTTAAACTGGGGTAAAACCCTGTTGCTGTATAAGTTTCTAGTCTTGATACTCGAAACGTTGGACTGTAACCGGAGCCTAAGTACACGACTCGGTAATTAATCCTCAGGCTTCCCAGCACAGCACAGGCGAGCACAAGTCAATAGGGGCACAAAACTTGACTGTTACCCAAACATCTGTGCAAAGAATACCAGTGGAAACCATGAGAGCGTTATTTGTAATCAGCAGTCCTCTCCAAAATCTACCACAATCGGCTTTTTGCAGTCAAGAACCAGAAAAAAAACATCAGAATGTAGTCACGTGACGCGTGCCACACACAGGCAACAGGTGGATAGGGTGGATGACCTGACAGAAAGGCGAGCTGTGCCGTTTGTTGACAGTAGGCTGGTCCGACTCTCGGCCACAGCACTGGCAGGGCGCGCAGGACGGAGCCATGTTCGAAATGCTCGGGCAGGTCCGGCGGGGCCGCCGCTCGTCCTGCCCGTCCATCATTCTCAACGACAAGAACGCCGCCGCCGCCGCATTCTACAACTCCCCGGATGCTATAATGTACCGTAAATAGTCCTGGGGTTACGTGCCGTGTGGTGTGTGCGAGTGTTGTGGATTTGGTGGGGATTCAGTCGTAGTTCCGGGTGTTAGGATGCTTGAAAATGTGGCATGAATGCGTCCGTACGATCGATGACAAATATCTAGCCCTGTCGGAATGTCTGTCGTCGTATTGGTCACTGCACGCCGGAATGTACACGGGCCTTGGGAGCACAGCAGTGTGTGTATTATGCTATACATGAACTGCACAGATGAGGCGCTTTAAACTGCACGGATGAGGCGATTTCATACTTATGACTATATTTGACGCCGGTTTTGCGGTTGTTTTTCCAGCGTGCAGAGTGCAGTAGTGTCTCTGTTCCAGCACAAGAAACTGCCGCCCAATGAGCTGGACTTATTGAACGAGAAAATAAGGTCAGTCTTTACTTCGGCTTTCAACCGGGTTATCCAAGGTGAGGGCACTAAGCCGGGGGGCACCTGCACTGCAGTTCACTCAGGACTGGCAAAATTAGTCTGGGGCGCAGAATACTAATCATTAGAGCGACAGGTTGAAGGTTTATGGCTCCCGTACGTACGTGAATAAAACAATTCTTTGGATTCGAATGTCGAACAGGGATACTTGGCAACCTCGAAAGTGTTTGCCATGCTTCAAATCAACGCCTTCGTCTTGTGGTTATAGGTGACAACGCACAGGCCTTGTTCCCTATTCACCCTCTGAAAGGGGAACTTTTGTGTGGACCTTGCACGCCATGACATAACCTCTGTATACATGCCAGACGGTTTATTAGCCGAGAAAACACTACCAATAGTGAACACACTATGCCTTTCAATGGTACCAGATACTGCGCATACAGCTGTACCTGCGCGCGTCAGGACCTCAGATTATAGTTGTTGTTTCTTTTAATACCATGGAACAGCATATTTCGATACACCGCAGTTTCACCTTTCAGCCTAGTCTGAAATATGTAATCTACTGTACTATCTACTGTAAGCGTTCACCCACAGACGGGTTGGCTCTCACGCCGGGTCCAAAGGACATTTGACCCAGTCTCATTGTATGTGAATGATAATCCTTTCTCCCGCAAGGCATATTCGACTCACCCTATATAAACTAAGACATAGATGCAATCAGTAGGTATAGAAGGGCTTATGGTGTCGGTCAGTCAGACACCTCCCCAAATAGCACCATGTTTATTGTCTGGACGTGTTAGAGTATGCTTCCAGTCTCGTGCAGTGGTCCTTGTTACAGTAAGTTAACCAAGAATAAACACTACAGCTCACGGGAGGTTTCAATATATCACCAGTACTCACCACAATACTAACCCTGTCTGCAGGGTATCGGTGCATCTATCTATCTATCACCCTTATCAATATTTCGAGATTACTAATAAGACAAACCTGTGTTAAACTTTGCGTTAACCTGGCATATTAGTCAATGAACTGGTCTATTAATAAAATCAATCACTTGATAGCCAATAGACCATCTATCTTATGAAATATTATACTAGTTATACCCGTGAAATATTTTACCCGTTCTAACTTTGTTAAATTCCCGTCCCCAGAATGCTGATGAAGACAGAGGTCGGACCGTTCATTTTAGACTACTTCCAGGTAAAGTGCTTATAGCGCTGACATGTAGCAAACTATACGGGCTGATGATACTGTTTACTCTTATGTTTTGATTATATATGTTGTGACCTGAGGCGTAATATAGAGTGACCAAAACCCAGCTGATACGTCTGTAAGTTTTCGTACTTGTTTTGGTCACAAATAAAAGCATTCACTTCGAACATTCTAAAAGCTTTTCCTTCTCACATCTTTTATTTAGAATCAGTTATTGAAGAAAGGAATGGTGATTCTACGAGAAAAGATCAAGAGAGAAAAAGGTGATAACAATTTATGTTTTATTTCACTCTATTGTAATTTCTTGTTTGAGAAATAAGATTGCCTGCCCTGTTCAGCTGATTGTGTGGGATCAAAAACGTTAGTAGCCTTGCGTTGTTGATTAAACGTTGGGTCCTTGGAAGGAAAATATAACATAATATAACAGTCATTTGCAAACAAAATTGAACACTTATAAAAACATAACTGGAAAACATGCGACTTACTTGGAAAACAGGATGCTACTACACGTGTCAATGTAAAATAGACTCCTTGATCAAGTTGTACCTTTTAGTCCCCAACATTACGGAAGAAGAATTTTACGGGGTAGACCATAGCCCGTAGCCTGGTGTCCATCCTATTCCGGCCCAGTCCGCTCCTTTGATCCTTCCCTGGAGCTAGAATAGGCTGGATACCAGGACCGCGCGACAGACGTCCTGCACAGATTGCCGTGACAGGTGAATGCTGAAGACTGATCACCTTGACGCTTCCATTTGTGTCACATGTCGATATTTGTGCTGCTTCAGGCCAACAGCTGCTGGAGAGTCTGTCGGACATTTGGGACTACTTTTTCTGCGAGGTGCTGCCCATGCTGCAAGCCATATTCTGCCCCGTGCAGGTAGTCTGGCCATGTCATTTCACCGTTTGTCTTGAAGAAAATCAAAGATGTTTTATGAAACGTGACATAACATCCTTGAGGAAACAGAACGTGTTTATGGAGATGAACTATAAATTTTGCCTACTCTGATATAGACGTGTCAGGAAGGCCATGAGTTGCATTGTCAAGAAATACGCTTAGGCGAAAACGACCAAATACACGAGCCATTACGATGAAAAGGAAAGCTGCATTGTCACATCCACCCACAAGGTCCCTTATGGTCCACCCCTCACCGATTAGCCTTATATAGTATCACCTCTTGCGAAAAGGGTTCAAGGGTAAATTCCAACACGTAACCCTTTTGTGAAGTCTCGAACTACCGTCGAATTAACTGTTAAAATAAAGTTAGGGCTTAGCCTAGCTATACAGCCTCAGAGATCTGGCGATATTGACTATCATGTCGTCTGTATGCTGATATGTTAAGGTTTATCCTCCCTCTAGGATTGTGTAGACTTGTGTATTGAATAGCATTGGTGGAATCTTTAACATTTACAGGCTATCTAAACTTTAAGACTATCTGTTCCTTTTGTTAATAATATCACAGGCCACGGGCTTTTCTGTCAGAGAGATGTCGTTAGTCGGTTTTAGGGACACAATCTTGTTGAAGATAGCGTTTTCAGGTGAGTTCACTTTCTGTGTTTTATTTTCCATTGCTTAGCCAACTCAACTTTAGGCACATGGCAATGTATTGTTGGTTGGTATGTAGACTTTTTCTTGCACGTAGAAAGTGTGATTTCTCCTTGTTATTTGTTGTAACTGTGTGTACAGATGCCTACTGTCATGCTCCCTTTTAAATGTTTACACCAAGACGATTGATGATGGAGAGAGTGCTAACACCCTGCTACTTGGTAAATCCGGACCGCAGGCCATGTGGTGCAGTATCCAAAACATCCCCACACCACGCCCATTCCAGTCGGCCCAGCGAGCTCGTCTGCGTACAAGTTACATAGTTGAGGCACCAAACTGTAGCCCAGAAAACTGTTCAATGCGAAACATGATTATGGTTATAGAAATATCAAGAACGCCTCTGTGACGCAGTGGATGACCTTCGAAATGCCGCCTGAGAGAGTAGCGGGTTTCAATTTAGTACGGACCGCTCTCATTGATCAGCGCTAGCGGGAGCTTCTACCATCGATGCCGCCTCCTGACTGGGATTGGATCCTGCTATTTGCAGCATGTGTGGGGGCTTGAAAGAATGAAAACGGCGTGTAGGCGTAAAGTAGACAGGCTATGTGGGCTCACAGGAAAACCGTTATGACAGCAATGCCATTTCACTAATGGTGGCAACATTATCTCAACTTACATCTAGTTTCCTGTTATGCCAGAAGAGATCCACAACTAAGGCTTATAGGAAAGCCATTGATACCCTTTTATGGTAGTTAAATCACATAACTTCAACAGATGCGAAGACGAGAGACGACTTACTAAACGCTATGTTTTTCCGCTACAGAGGCATTAGATACCCCAGACGTCGTCATCAGTCCCTCCATCACGCAAATGCTGCTGGTCTTACAGGTTGGCTTTTACATTTGCTACCATATGTGTAGTTTACATCGGGCAGTGCAGATGCTTATAGATACCGAATCGTAATTCAATTGGTGATTTTCCCTATTGTTGCTTCGATCAATTGCCTTTTAACTACCCCTTGATATATAACGATAAATAAAAATAAAATTTAGTTAGAAAAAATGAAAACATACTGCAAACACAACCTGCTTTCTCTTGGTGTAGATCCAAGTCAAAGGCTGAGTTAGTTTCTCTAGTTAGAGTGCTCTTTGTTGTTCACAGAGTGTGCACGACAACAACCCAGAATATCTCCAGTTGGAGTCGCTGGTGGCCAGAATAGTGAGCCCGTACCTGGGGCTGCGCGGGCTGTACATGGGCGGGCCGGAACCCCTCATCCCCGCCAACAAACCCGTCACCGTCGTGCTCAGACAGAAGACACTGGGAGGTAAATTCCCACTGACGTTTTGTAAAATGTTGGAATTACTAGATATAGGTAGGCCAAGTTGTAATCAGCATGAGCACAGCCATACAATCGACAACCGACGAGTTGCGGTTCCAAAAGGACACGGCGTTCAAAGAAAAGTTTATTCACCACCGCCAGAGAAAATCAATGAAAAACAAAAGAGTAACGTTTAGATTTACGAGTGCTTACAAAGCTGACGTCCAATCTATTCAATGTTTTACTAGTGACAAGACTATATATATAAGAACGCTTTGTGGTCATAGATTTATCCTGCGTCTTCTCCACAGACGAGCCATTGAAAGGTGAACGCCCCCTCAGCATGCAGCTCTTCCCGTCCCAGCAGCTGGACGAGCAGCTCCCGGCCCCGGGCCGGGGGGAGGCGCACAAGCGCACCCCGTCCGCTGTGGGACAGGGCTTAGACCCGCTGGTGGAGGGGGAGGTCATGACACGGGGGTTCGGCAGGAGGCACAGCATCGCCGGCGGCGCGGGGGACAGTCAGAAGAGTCAGGACGACGTGACACAGGTGGCAGGGTCCGACTGATGGGAACAGTGATGGCGCTGCACACAGAAAAGATCGTCGGTTGCCTTAGTAAAGTAGAGGTCCTCGGTGGTGTATTTCTAAGAGACATTTTGAAGCCACATTTTAAGCTGCTTTGAAGTGTTGGTGGAAATCAGATGGTCAGGTACCAGGCTGAAGTATACAGGACAATCTAGAACAAAATACAGTCTTCGTCTATTCAGAGTACGCTGTCAGTCTGTAACACGTGGAAACAGTGAGAATATATAAATGTTGATGTTAGCATCCGCAGATGGTTCTGTACTGTGAAGCTTTTTTTAGCCTAAATAATAGGTTGTTCTGCTTAGCCACTGGCTCAGGCCACTCGGTACCAATTGCTTGTTTCTCAGACAAATTCAAACCCAAGACTACTGAAAATAGGAGCCATTATTTCCCAAAGTCTCGTATATTTGACAACAGTGGATGTAACCAAACAAACTGACTATGAGCAGATAATACGTAATACAGACCGCTCCACAGCAAATGCTAGACTTTGCATAGTATTTATAAGTGTTAAATATGATGTATATTTTTCTGTAATGTAAATCCGATATTGACCGTGGAGGAAAATTGTAGAAATATTTTTGAAAAACAGAACTGTATTGTATATGTCTAAATGATTACAGATATCACAGTACTACAATCTGATTCCTGTCATTGTTTCACATAGATTCATCTATGGCTTTGGTAGGTGAATTGTAAGGGTTTATTTTATGATGTTGATTTTATGACCTAATATCTCATGATTCGATTTGTAAAATGTCTTAGATATTGTCGTCTTGACTTAGAGGCTCGTATTTTTGAAAACAAAGTCAAACAAGAAGAAATCTAAGATCCCATACCTGTTGCCCTAATCATCAGAACGGCAACATCAAACAAAATACACCCAACACCGTCAGATGTGCGACTGTACACCAGCAAGACCGTACCATACACAACGTCGTCATCTGAATCTTATAAACCGTCATCTGGATTTTGTACACCAGCAAGATAGTAAATATACTAGTACACAATATCTTCAGCTGAGATTAAGCTTAAGCCGTCAGTAAGACCGTTCAAGTTCTAACTCCAGTTCTAACGACGAACACATAACGACTTTCTAAACATTCAGATTTGTATTCAGCTTTATTAGTACAAAATACAAATTGTCACAATTGTACATTGCAAGTTTTCTTTATCATAGTACCAAAACAGCATTAACACCTTTTCCTGGGCGTACACTTCCTTTTTGTTTATTTTTATTAATCTTTTTATTCCCAAATATTTAAAAACAAATTAGATAACTCAAATAATATGTACAAAAGAAAATTCGCAGGGAGATAATTGCAACTGTGTCTGTACGATGAATATACAAATTTATGCGATCTTTGCCCGCTAGGCTCATGTTTCACAATGCGCGGAGAATTCCTTATATGGTTTACACTCTGAACTCTGACCAATCAGAGCCCGTAAATTCCATGTGCGTCCAAGTTGGAAAATTTTCCCAAGCGAGTAGGTGGTAAATCTCCGCTCCCTTCTTTCGAAGTTTATGTGGGTGGTTGATCGACATTTTGACACCGTGACAGGACTCTGGCGCGTCTCCTCCTGCTTTGAAGTCTTGGCGGTAAGTCTTATATTACATTTGTAGTGGTGTTACGAGTTGACATCAGAATCATCATGATTTTTGCTCTGTTTCGTCTTCCGTTCCAAACACTGACCTGGTCAATGACCTGAACCAGACCGTCTGTCACCCTACGGTAGCTGGTGTTGGGTTACATAATGTTGCAATGTAAATAGTAGGAGGGATTTAGACTCCTGTCACCATATACGTGAATGTGTTTGAGTAAGAATTAACAGAGCATACCATATGTGAAGGTAAGCATTATGCATTACAAATGTTACCTTTCTAGTTCCATTTAAGTCAAATGTGTAAGAGATGGGTATCTTAAAGTTGTGATCAGTCAGGACTTTCAGAAACCTTTTCATAATTGATTGAAGTCGCATTTATCAACTGTTGCTATATTTCCTTGGACAAGTTTCTTAGTGGCAATGAAAGTACAACCAGGAGTCAATACAGTTTTTACACCAAATAACGTTATATATGATATATCTTGTTACCCCATACTTATATAGGACAGGCATCTATTAAAGAGATAGATTGGTCATGAAAGGAAAATTGCTTTGGTACAATCTCAATTTTCAGTATCATTGGATAACAACTTCAAGATTTCACTGCTCATATCTTGTCTGTTTGCAAAAAATGTTTTTTGTTATTCATAATCTGACTGCAGACCACTTTTCAAAAAGATCATAAGGAAAGAGGCGAGGGTCAGACAGCTGACATCATTTGAAATCTATACACATCATTAAGAAAGCGCGTATACTCATGTATTGCAATATTATATTATTTCTATTATTACCCCTGACATGACATTGCTAATCTTTCATGTTCAATTGCCCAGGGCATTACAATAAGCTTATTCTGATCATGAAGATAAGACTTATTAAACAAAAGAGAATGCAAATCAAAGTAATAATGGTAATGTTACTCATAATTATAACTTTGACAAAACAATCCTCTTAATCTGTTTATCCTGTTAATTTATCTGTTAATTTATCTGTTAATTTATCTCAATCTGTTCCCTCTCCAATGTCTTAGTAAGTTATCCATTGTTAGGGTTGAGTTTTCTGGCTGAGTTATTGGTTGTTAGGGTTGAGTTTTCTGGCTGAGTTATTGGTTATTAGGGTTGAGTGTTCAGACTGATTTATTGGTTGCTAGGGTTAAGTTTTCTGAGTTATTGGTTGTTAGGGTTGAGTTTTCTGACAGATCCCTCGGTGCCATTCAGCAGCACCAGGTCTCCAGTCTGGAACATCGCCGTGGCATGCTTCACACTCACCACACAGGGGAGGCCGTACTCACGGGCGACCACTGCACCTGCACACACAGGGAGAATGATGATGGTTTATTGAGTACTCACACAGTCCAACAATGGCAGTCAACTGACTGGATTGGTGCCAGATTTTACAAAAATGTTCAATCAATGGGATGGGAACAGCAGGAAATTTCTTGTCTTAGTTTAGAGACTTATAAGAACTGTCATTTCGACTGGACATCTAGTTTTACAACATGCTCAGGCAGTTTAAGTCCTAGTAAAGCTCTCCAACCACATCTGAGGGAACAGTCGACCTGTCCTTGGTGCTGAATGAATACTAACTTAGTTTACAACTACAACCACCACTGTAGTATGATTGTGATACCTGACCTTGGTACTTGTGTCTGTGATATGGTTGTGTAGGTCTGTCCTTGGTGCTGAATGATTACTATTACAGCCACTAGTATGGTATGATTGTGTAGACCTGTCCTTGGTGCTGAATAATTACTACTACAGCCACCACTGCGATATGGTTGTGTAGGTCTGTCCTTGGTGCTGAGTGATTACTACTACAGCTCATCACCATGGTATGATTGTGTAGGTCTGTGCTTGATGCTTAACAATAGCTATTATAGCCCTGGGACAGTTGTGTCAAAGCCAAAAGTTGCCCTATTCCACCTGAATGACATATGCTCTTATTTTGATATACATGTAGCAGAGAGAAATACCACTGAAATGGCCAATGAACCATCCTAAGTTATGACCCACCATGTGAAATCAGCCCTCCCAGCTCAGTGACCAGCCCACTCAGTAAGGGGAAGTATGGACTCCAGCCTATGTCTGTGCTCTGGACTATCAAAATCTCTCCTGCCTGTAAGGAAAGTAGAAAGACAAATATTCAGTCATCATACCTCAACAAAACATAGTCAAATGTACTGATTACTAACATTAGGATGACTTAATGGTGCTTGGTAATTTCCTAACTGGCCATGTTCTACTATTATAAAAACATATAGCCTATTACTTAACAGGATCTGTTGAAAAAAATTCATTGAGTGAAGCTCTAATGGACCAATGAATAAGTATGAGCTAAGCTGTACTCTGTACCTGGATAGTCCCTGCATCCTCCAGTCTGGTCACCACCCTGGCCGGAGCGGTCACCGTGCCGTGGCTGACCGGCATGCCCTTCAGCACCAGGTCTGACCCACTCACAGGCAACGCACCAACCTCAATCTGACATACCAGAAATACAGTTCACTTTAACCTCTGTCAAACATCACTATATTCTCAAAGACTCTTATGTAGGTAATGTACATAAATATCCTTCTACTAACTGCCAAGATAAAACAGCAGTATCAAGCCCAGTGTGTAAGCTCTTTACTTACAGGTTCAGGATGGCCGTGGCAGATCTCAGGGAACTTGAGCGACATCTGCTTGGGCAGGATGCGACGTCTTCGCAGTGCTCTGATTGGGGGGGGGGCAGATAAAAGGTTTAATGACCTGCTGTTGAGCATTTCTACCAACAATATCAGTTGAAGTTGACAGACTTGTTGGATAAAGTTATTACAAGCTTCAATATGTGATACTGATTGAAAATGTTATGATGAGGATTCTAACCCAAAGGTGCATTGTACATATCACTCACTTGGCCACTAACACAGCAGATCGACTGTGCAGAAGAGTGCCGATCTCCTGGTGTGTCAGGAAGAACAGTAAGTCCTCCTCAGGAAGACGACCCTGTCATGACAAAAGGGTATCATTTCAGCCATAGAGACTGATGAACAAACAGTTGAAATGACATTGGGGATTTATCTACAAATTTTCAACAATCAACAAATTTTCAACAAATTTTCAATTTACACTTATACAACATCTATACAATCATGTATCCATGCCTATACAACTCACCTCTGCAACCATTAGTGAAGCCAGGTACCAGTAGGCTTGTTTGAAATGGTCGGCCATTTTGACTGCGGCTGACTTGCTCTGCTCCCTCTCCATCACACCTTGTCGTGCGTAGGGGAGAGTCCACTTCAAGATGTACCTAATGGAAGGTGAGGAAACACAAGATACATGGCATTCAACATTCAGTACCAAGGACAGTGCAACAGGTCAAGAAGACTTAGTCAGTACCACATTTGGGTTCTTATTCAGAACCAAGGACAGGGTAGGAGTTCTTGATGTCTTATTCATTACCAAGGACAGTGTAACAGCTCTTGACATTTTAGTCAGTAGCAAGGACAGTGTACCCGTTCTGGATGTCTTATTCAGTGCCAAGGACAGTGTCACAGTTCTTGATGTCTTATTCAGTACAAAGGACAGTATAACAGGTCTGGATGTATTATTCAGTACCAAAGACAGTGTAGAAGTTCTTGATGTCTTATTCAGTACCAAGGACAGTGTAGCAGTTCTTGATGTTTTATTCAGTACCACTAACCTGCCAGCCATGGTTATTGGTGATTTGATCTTCTTGACTGCCTCATCAAAGTTGAATGGCTCCTTTTTACTGGCTATCTGGTTATTCCTGAGCATAGACTGAACAAAACAATGAGATTAAAAACTTAGGTAAAAGTAACAGTTAATTCTGTGGTCTATTACATGATATCGCATAGGAAATCAAAATACTGATTTTGGATGATATTTGTTGTTTAAGGAAATTCCTTTATCAAATCTATTCACCTTGATTAAAATAGACATTCTTGTTCTCAGATACCCATAATGTTTGTCACACATACCTGAATGGTTAGAACCACCTTGGCTGGGTCTGCTCTCCAAGACATTTCTCTTAGTTCTGCCTATCAAACAGGAGATCAATAAAAATCATGTTGTAAAAATGCATGTGGAAAATAAGTTTCTTCCAGATGAGATCAGATGAGATATACTGTGGCAGAAGTTACTAATTCATCATAACAAATGTTTTGATACTTTCAAACATGGCATCAGACACGGGAGTCTGTTAAAGTCAGGTTTACGTCCTCATGTTTTAGTAAGTGTCCAGCTGACCTCCCTGAGACACCTGTGTCCATGCAGCTCCAGGAATGTTTGGAACAGCTGCCCAGAAGAACCGCTGTCATCACCCAGCAGCCAGGCTGTAGCTTCCTGTAGGATAGAAAAATGACACATACAAAAAAAGAATTGCACAAATCATTAGCCTGGTTACCAAACTTATTTTAGCTCCCGAGTTTTTATCCTCTTTGCAAATATTTGCCCACAAATCATTTATTTGAAAAAAAAATCTGCACCATATTTGCCCTAACTGACCTGAGGAGACATGGAGATCAGTCTATCCTTGTGGCCCTCCTCTATCAGCTTCACTGCTAGTTTCTGGGGAAGCATTCAATGTCAAAGCTTTTGTCATGTACAATCACACTGCTGTAAAATGTAGTCAAAGTTAAACAAGTCTGACAAACAACAGATACCTTCAACTTACATCTTGATACATTATACATAAACATAATCTACTGTATCTGATTATGACTAAATTTATATGCTGAAACAAATGAATTAGGTATGTTTCAGTTGCAGTAAAAATAAAAGCATATAGTTTGTATAAATGTTATGTACCTCCAGTGCATCAGGCACATCTGCGCTGGTCACTTGTTCACAGTTGACGTAGAAATGAGCCATGTCAGAGAAATGCTGTATTGTCCACTCTGCAGGTATAACATACAGCATTGAGTCATCAGTCTATTTGTTGATATGAAGCCATAAATATACAAGTTTAATCAGACTGCTATTGGCCATATACTAGAAGCATCTGGTAACATGTTTCATGGCAATATGACTGCCTAATTTAGCCAATCTTTACTTTAAGAGAATAATAAGTTTTACATGCAAAATCTTCTATAAATATGAGGTACTATTACCTGCTTAAAAGGAAAAGGAGTCAACTGATAGAATTAACACTACCAGATGAGTATCAATCATGTATTTGTGGCCTTGAGGCACCACAGGTCATTTACTAAGAGGTAATATGATGACTACATGTGTACCTCTGCCTCCCTGTGACAGGACCATCATCAGGACTGTGCTCCAGGCTGCTGACCGAGCACCATAGCTCATGTGGTCTGCCCAGGCCTGTGGACACATGCAAGACAATGAACAAATACATGTAAATGTTCTATCAATGTCTCATATGACTTTTTACTTTCATTGTGTTAGAGATCATTTGTACCACATTTTTGAGGACATCAAAATATCTTGATACAAGACACATTGTCATTACCTGGTAGCATTCAGGTAACCTCTCGTTGATCTCTTGGTACATCGCCATGGCATTGTCATGACGATGGATGCTGTAAGTAGTCAGAGTTTGCTCCAACTGCTGGATCTTGTGTTTTGATGTGTACAGATGCTGTAAGAAATGTAAAACTATTACAGTGAGATGAAGGACCACAATTCATCTGATAGATGCCTGTTACCTAGGCTATGACATTTGTTAGAATTCTAAAATGTCAGTATGTGTACAAAGTATACCACAACAAAGACTTGGTACTGTTGATACTTTATTTAGATATACAGTATAACTTGAGTGACCACTCCTTTCTCTACCACAATGACATTAACATTTTCATACCTCTTTTTTTTTGGAAGTTCATTTTTTTTATTCATTTCATTAGAGAAACAAAATCATGGCACAAGAAAATAAATGACGTACATGTATGACCACAAAACTGATACATAAAACCGGCAGACAGTAAACAGTAGAAATAATAAGAAATTAATGAGAACCCCCCAGGAAACTAAATTAAAACAATGGCCGAAGGAAAACTTAGATCGGTATGACATATAAGTTTCACCGATTTTTATATATATAAGAATATATATATAAGCAATGAATTATATATATTTAAATATACGTTACACAAGAGTATATATATATGTAGGAAATGAATAAAAACTGACTAAAGGCAACTGAATCGGTATAACATGTAAGTTATACCGATATATACATATATAAGAGTATACACATAAGGAAATATATATATGTATATATATATATGTATTGAGAAATAAATAACATACATATATAAAATATAAGGATATATATATACATATATATGTATGCATACACATGTACATACATACACACATACATACACAAATGCATATATATACATACGTAAAACAATGAATAATGGAAACTTAAATTGGTGTAATATATAGTTTCCCCCACTTCCCAATGTGTTTAGGTATTTTATTCAACCTTGTAGCAATAATACACTCTAATTTTGAACATGAGAAACAAAAGAGATAAAGCCAGATATTTGTAGTTTCTGTTGACGATACTTGA